ATCTTAGCTAACAGCATGTTCCTGAGACTTTATTGTGTGGATTGAGAAGAGTCCCACATGTGATAGGACAGATTTACACTAAGCTTTTTATTCTTTCTCATACATTTTAGTAAGGTGGTGAAATTTATGGAAGAGATTATCTTGGTCCTAACCATGTATGTTGATGTTTTCCAAGAGATGAAGTTCCTGAGATAAACTTTAGTTCAACTGCCAACAGACACATGTGTCTGTTATATGACATATACAGCAGAAATTAGGTTAAGTTCAAAACTTTTTAAGAAGTCAATTCTGATGCTTGGTTTCAGCCAGTTCTTTTCATTTTGTCAAGGAATTAATAAAATATATATAGAATAGCTGGAATTCTTCTCAATTTACTCTATGACACACAAATAATGTTAAATTTCTCAGAGAAGTCTTAGCTCTCCATTTTGATGGGATTGCAGTAAAATAAATCTTTCCTAGCATAGATCCAAGACAGTGATAAGCAATGACATATAGTGTCTGGTAAATATTTGCAATATGTGTGTCTTAGTTATGTAATCTAATTAACTAGAGAGCCACCCAAAGGGAGTCCAGTATTTTATGGATAGCATCACTTGTGGTCTATTGCCCTACACATGGAATGGCATCACCACAGGAATGCTTTGTCATGTCATAGATTCTAAAAGATAGTCATTCTTAATTTTTAATTTGAAACATATTGACTCATTTCTGATTTTTAAAGAATAGTTTGTATGTAATGCTAAAACAATATCAGAGAAAGAAAGAAAATGAAGCAACCAGGCAAATGCTTATCACTTCTGCCTAGTCCTTTCTATTTCCTCCCAGACTTTACCTGTACCTCTACCAGGTGTGATGATCCTCTTTCCTCCTTCCCTTTTCTCACTCTAGAGTTTGTGATTTTAGGGAAGGTACCCAGTTGTTTGATTCTTAGTTGTCTTACAAAGAAGACAAATGTGATGGCAGACCCCATGAACATTACAAGGTTTTGTAGGAATAAGTGATACAGCAAATAAAAAGCTTACCATAGTAACTACTCATTAAACACAAATTGCTAATATTTAATTATTTATGTTTGTACCAAAAGGCATAAAACAAGATCTTTTTTTATTTGTTCAGTTATGAAGTGTGTAATTGAGGAAATGAAAGATAAAATATTACTTGGTGAGATAAAATATCTTGATGAGATAATGCCAAACACTTGATTAAAACTGAAAATGGCAGGGCTGGGTGATCCGGCCTGCGGACCAATCCAAGGGTCTCACCTGGAGAGGGATCAGGGATGGGGGCAGGGCAAGAGAAAAGAGAGATGGAGACAGGATGCGATTCCAATCAAGTCTCGTTTATTTTTAAAATGGCTACAACTTATATAGGGTGGGGGGCGGGCCAAGGGCAGGAAGAGGGCACAGAGTGTTATCTGATAGGTCATCATCACATCCGGATATATGACGTAAGCAGGAGAGGATTATGGGTAATGTAGGCAGACATGAGGATCATGGGAAATGTAGGCTGACACACAAAATGCCCTCAGGCAGGAGGGGCAGGGCAGCAGCAGCTATTCAAAGCTGCTCCCTACAGCTGGGGATGTGGATCAATTGTAGATGTCCTAAATTCAGCCTCCGACACCCTACACACACACACACACACACACACACACACACACACATACACACACACACACACACCTAGAAAATAAATGTAGAATGTTTCAAACATCTTACAAACCAGTACCAACATATTTTACAGCCTTTATTTTCCCTTGGCATGTTTGTGGTATATCTGTGTGTCTGTGGATGTGTGTATACTTGTGAATGTGTGTGTGTATGTGCATGTAAGAAATCAATACATTGTATTCACTAGTCCCTTCTGAGCAACTCTCTGAGCTTCCATAAACATCATGGAACTCTGCATGCATCCTTTCCAATGCTTATTCCTCATCCAGACAGAAAAAAAAAATGCTACATTTTTAGAAAACTACAGCACTTGGGAGGCTGAGGCATAAATATAGGAATTTGACATCAGTTTGGGAACACGTAAGTATTACCTGCCTAAGAAAGGGAAGGTTAAGGGAGGGGAGAAAGAAAGAGAAAGAAAAGGAAGAATGGAGAAAGGGAAGTAGAGAAGGAAGGAAAGACCAGTACATTGCTGCACAATTATTTGTCATAATGTACCTATGAACAGAGCTGTATTGGTGAAACTGGTCTTTGCAAGGTATAAGTTTTGGCATAAGAGATCCTATTATGACATCTTCATTTGAGTTAGTCGTTCTATAGAAAGTGAAAAAGGATCAGTTCTTCAGAAATGGCAAGGAAAGTGTCACCAACTTAATAGGGCTCTTGAGAGAATATTTCCTGTTGTTCAGACAACAGAAAAAGGTTAGCGGAACACCATCACACAGTGGATGCTGAGTGTGGCCCTCACAATGCTCCATCTCTGCAATGCGCTGGCTTATTCAGATGCCATTAAAAGCTCCTCTTGACAAGCATGATGATGAACTGCACGTTTCCATAACACAGCACATATTCAGGTGATGGACATCTCTGTTAAACTGAGGATGTATTTATTTTCCAGCAATCAATTTTTCATTCTGCTTTGCAAACTATGAAGTTACTTAAAGCTCAAGCAGCTTATTGATGACAAAAGAAACTCCACCTAAGATTGGGCCATGGTGGGCAGGCAGAATATAGGGCACATATTTTTATGAACATAAAACTTCTGTGGTTCTCTAAACAATGAATTTTTTGTTTGGCTTTTAGGACATTTGATTCCATAAAATGAAGGGCCCCATCAAATGAAGGATTTTATGCGTCAAAAATATACTTTGATATTCATCTAATTTTATTTGATAAATTTCAATGGATGAAATATGAACAATAAGTATAATCCTAACTTGGTGGTTGGATGTAATTTTTTCCTTAGTTTATTAATGATTATTGTGTGGATCTTTAAATATCTCATGTAAAACAAATAAATATATGTGCCACTTCGACTAATAATTTCAAAATCAGGAGAATATTCTTTCCTATTGCTTCCTTATGGCCTGGGGAATAAATTGTTATATTCTTTCCGCAAATATAATGATGTTGACTTATTTAAAAAAGGAAGACTTTAAATAAATTATAATTTCTGACAATAAAATGTTGGGCTCTGCAAAAACAAAACTAACTGAATCAGCTCAAATAGCATCATTGCCTCTGTTCCTAAAAGTATTCTTTCGTTTTTAGGAGTATCATTTAAAATGTAAATGTACTTGGAGATGTAAACTTCAAACTTTTATCAGTTAGCATATTAATTTCAGTTATACCTTAACAGGAATAACTGGATAGCAGTCAGAGATAAATTGAAATGTGTTTCTTATCCAATTAGACCTGAAGTTGCCTATGAAAACATTTTTCAAGAAATTCTGCTTGCCAAAATTTGAAGTCTTTGGAATCAGAAGCTTAATATTAATAGTCACAGAGAGATTGCCCTTTGTAGAAAATACCTCGCATAGCATCTTAAAGTGCTCTCAAATTTGAGGTTGTACAATCATAATGCATAGTTTATCAGAAGCTATGTATGAAGCTGCTGTTATAAAATGAAATCTAAGCACATTGGTATCCTAGCAAGAAGAAGGTGGCAAACTCAAGAAAGATAATGAAATACAAGGAGCAAAACCAGATTTAAAGGAACCAAGAAATGATAATGAAGTGCCCAGAACCCCAGACAATAAGAGCATAAAGTTCTTATTACCCTTAGGTCTGAAAATGCAGGGAAATAAGTGTTTGTTAATGAACACAACGAATGTTACAGCAGCTGGGGGAGGGACAGTCTTTAGACCAAGGAGCAGGACCATCACCAGACCATGACCCAGAATAGCCTTTAAGGAGAACCATCCTAATCTCTCCTTCCCCCTTACACTTTGATAATTTATTGGTGCTTCTGTTGACCTAACTCAGCTAGAAGCCAATGTGATCTCTAGAGGTCACTGACCCATGGGAGAGGGTCGGGAATAGGACCAGAAGGGAGACAAAGAATAACCAGCATATGGTCTCCCCATAACCACAGTTACACAGGATATGAGCTCCAGTTCCTCCTCACTGAGGAGTACTTAGTACTATGCCTTAATTGATTTTAATCAAGTCGTTCTCTTGTTGATGTCCTCCCTGGTATCATCTCCTCCTGATCCTGGGATGGTTCCCATCTCTCTCTCTCTCTCTCTCTCTCTCTCTCTCTCTCTCTCTCTCTCTCTCTCTCTCTCTCTCTCTCTCTCTCTCTCTCTCTCTCTCTCTCTCTCTCTCTCATATGCCCTGTCCTGTATCACCTCTCTTCAGTCACAGTTCTCCACCTTTCTTGGCCATGGGACAAGCTGTTATATTTTATGTTGATGGATCAGTCCCTTTATGAATGGGACAAAACTTTACAATGTGGGATAATTATTTTTGATGTATACTCAATTTAAATACCTAGTATCTTTTCCCATTCTTCTTTTATTATGGTTCTTTTGCATTGATTCAGTTGCCTTTTCTCCTGCTCGTTTATAGTGTTATAAATTAAATGTTGACATGGTACCATGTGATAGATTATATGTGTGTGGTCTATTTAGGAGGTGGTGAGAAGTGTGGAGATGGTCTTAAAAGATAACAAGCAAAAATAAAATTGGAGGCACAGGGAAGAAAAAGAAGGGGAAAGGGAAGGAAAAAGGATTAAGATGCATTTTGTACATGTACTGACTTCCCACAATGAATGTATTCATTATGTATCACAAACATCTACTACTAAAAAATTAATAAATTAATAAAAAAAGTTCACGAAGCAGTGGCCAGGCAGGCTTGGTTCTGAGATATTTGGAAAATGCAGAAAAGACCATGATCTGTTAAAGCATTAAAGAAATAAATTTGCTTACATCTTTTTTTAACTGGTTGGTTTTACAGTTTGGAAACTTCTGTCTTCCAGAGATGTTGGCATAATTTTTGCAAGTTATGTGGATGTAACTGTGCTTCCTATTTTATCCCACTCAGATTCGAAGCCAGAGCAAGGCCTCTGGGTCTGGACTGTGTGAGGGGGATGAGGTGGTATCTATCAACGGCAACCTGTGTGCAGACCTCACCTACTCAGAAGTCATCAAACTCATGGAGAGCATCACTGACTGTCTCCAGATGCTCATCAAAAGGTACAGCACATTTTCTGGTGTATAAATTGGTTTGGAAACTAAGTGGAAATGATTACAGCTCCTCTCTCTGTATATTATGTGATTTACTCGGAGCTGAGAGCTGTGGGATGCGGAGGTCAGGGCAGCGGAGCACAAATACTACAGCAGTGACTCTATTCGGGCTTTCTGGTTAAGTGAGAATTAACTTGAAAATCTGTGTTTTCAACTTGTTGAAAAGCTCAGGTATTTTAGACTACTTCCTTAGAACACTCTGTATATTGAGCATAATTTAATCCTTCTTTCCAAAGTCAGGACTCCCTAATGGATCAGGATTCCTCAGTTATAATTCCCAGATTCATAGATGGATTTAAAATGTTTAAATGTTAAACCATTGAGCTGTACAATATTTTTGCATAGAAAGGAAATAGTCAGGAGAAGGAAAACAAAAGCAAACAAAAAACTTGAAAGCAAATTTCTACTTACCAGGACCTCTAGTGAAGCCACTATTTGAACGTGGACAAAAGCTTATGTGTAGAATAAAGATTTGAGTCTATCAAAGCAAACAATTTGTGTATTCCATCTTGCTAAACACCACCATCATTTAAAAAATGGAGAAAAAACTTTGAAAGATTAAACAAAACAACACTGAGGGCAATCACATATACACAATAGCCTCAACATTGTTACAGTACAAATCGCAGTACAATCCGTATTGATTTTTAGGGTTTTGTTTGTTTGTTTGGTTGATACTGGGACTCAAACTTAGGACCTCACACTTGCCAGGCAGGTTCCATATTTATTTTTAACTCAAAGTCCTGCCTATTGTTTTATCCAGACAAGAATGTTCTGGTTTCCTGGAGTATGGCCTTCAGGAGAGATCAGAGAACATGTCTCACAGAGTCTTAAAACCCTCTAAATTTGGCCTTAACTTTGCAGAAATAGTATATGGATTGTTATCCCTCCTGTATTCATTCAGTATGATTCTATTTCTATTTAAAAATGAACTCACCATTGTCAGAATCATGATACCATAACATAGCCTTAGAGTCTCCCATCTAAATATGTGCTCACCCAGCTTCATGTTTAAGACCTTAGGATTCCACTTACTTACAAAGCTCTTACTTGCTTTCAAAAGGAACCTAACAGAAACATTACCAAGTTTAGTCCCAGTGTTTGCTATTATCATGCATAAATCTGTGACTTATTTGAAGACTTCCATTTTGTAAAAGTTCACTCAGGCCCAAAATGGGGAAATGATTTATTCTAATTTATTGTCCTTGTTTTTTTTTTTTAATTTTAAAGAGATTAAGACAAAACAGGATGTAACAAAGCAGATGAGAACAGAACAGTGTAAGCAACACAGTATTTCACCAGAAGACAACCTGTAATTAACAGTAACTACCATAATATCTCTTTATTTGAAATAACTGAGCATAACTTCATTTACAATAGTATCAGGCATAACAAAATAGTATAAAACCATTAAAGAGAATGAAAGTATTACAGGGCATTCAGAACCAAATAACAGAAAATGAACAATGGCTATTACATTATCTCATTTTCCATAGAAAATTTGTTTATACTATCACACATAATAATATCCAATAAGATACAACATGATAGAACAAATGGAAACAGAAGAGCAAAAGCATGGTAGGACTTCAGAGTAAGATGATATTAAATCAGCAATGGCTATTATAATGGCTTGTTTTCTTCAAAATAGCTGTTTCTAATTTGTTGTCCTTGTAATGGCTTTAACAATTTAATGATCGAGGCCTATTTATGTAGACCAGACTCATCTGGGACACCCAGGGAAAATTCATGGTAGTTTACAGCTGAGTCTTATGTACATATTTAACTTGAGAAGTAAGTGGGCTAGATTTTTTTTTACCTTAAATGACTAGAATCACAGTTATTATAATTTTCTTCTAAGTATGTTGACTTTTTAATGAAATAGTTAATTGATGAATGCAAGATAGAATTCCAAATTAAAATCAGGTCAAACATAATCAACAGCCACTACCACTCTAGCTATCTGAATATTGTTTCCACAAATGAAATATTCTCTCATAACACTGTCATTTTCACTGGAAGATAAGAGTTTGACTTGCCTGGATTGTCATCGAGAGACAGCTGGTTATACTAGCCTTAAAAATTCCTTTACATTGAGTCTTTGCTATTTTAAACTTTATTAAAATGACAATATATAAAAAGATAAATGATTGCATAATTATATGTATACACTGCAACTGAGTCACTGTAGAGACTGAAAAGAAGATGATCAAAGCTTTAATCTGTCTCCTCATGTGCTTTTATTACAAACAAGTTCTGTTTCAGGAGAAGTTTGTAAGCCAGACTCACTATAAGTCAGACAAAATGAGTCCTACACACCTCTGACACAAATATACAGTGTATGTTGCTTTGTGCTTCCTAGCATCCCCTCCACATCACCACACTTTTCCTCTTTCTTCTGGACACCCTGAGCTCTGACTGAGCACTGCACAGTAAACACAGCAGTGTGGCTGTGACAATGGCCCACAGACACGTGAGCTACTCCCGGGATTTGCTTACCGCTAGGAATGTCCCTAAAGCGAAGTCCCTTCGTATCTGTTAAAGTTCGCGGCTCTAATGTTCATGAGTTGGAGACTTGCCATATACATTTTACTCCAGCTACCAAGAAATGTTAACTTTATCTGGTCCGTCTGCCTGGGTTCCAGTTTGTAAGGCTGGAGAGAATTGAACCTGCCCTATCCTTAGCTTCATAATTGATTGTTAACATAACTCAAAGTGATTTAATCTACTTCCGTCCTAAGGCCTTCCTAGACTAAAACTCTGAACTTTTGATACCCTCAAACGCAGCTTGATAGAGTGAATTTTTCATTTCCTATCATTTCATCTTCCTATCGAGTTTGCTGTCATCATGGTAGTATAATTTTTTGAAAAATACTACAGTACACCAGGGAGCTTTTCAGATTATTTGCAGAGTGAAAGCTGAAGTGTGTTTATTACTGTTTTTTGTTTTGTTTTGCCAAATACAGTCCAAAGCAAAGTTAAGAGTATTTTGATGATTGATCTGAAATTGTACTGTCACAGAAATTCTAAGGTCAATTCCTTTGAGTGGAAAGAAACAACAGCTCCCCCCTTCTAGTGACAACCCCCTGCTGTAAGTGGGGTACATTTTGAAGGAACAGAAAAGAGGCAAAGATAGCTTCTGCTGCTATGTTTTTAAAAAATGCAAGTAATGAAGGCATCTCCCACAGCTGTTCTGTGAATGATGCTTCTCTTCTAAAAGCATTCAGGGTTTAGACTTTTAAAAAGAAATTCTTTAACTCCTGAACTGACACGGCCTTCTCCAAAACCAGAATCTGCAAAAAGCCTACGGAGAACGAGTAAGATCATACAAAGAACTGTGGCCAACAGCGCTGGGTTTCTTAGCTCAGAGATAAAGGAACAGTTTGACTTCAGAAATCCTAAAAGGCAAATGCTGCAAGAGACAAGTTCCAATAGAAAGGAAGACATCTCAGATTATAAATACTCTATGACTTAATGATTCATTCAGCATGGAAAGGATTTCTCTTTGCACAAGAGGACTGGGCCAGGGTCCACTTATTACCAAACACATGCTCACTGGAGCTTAAAAACAGCTTCTATTTCATCCCTTTCAAGAAAGTACAGCGTTTAAAAGGGTTGCTTGAAGTATCTGTAATTTAAGATTGATCTGAAGCTGCTGGATATGTTCATCTGACTCTATAATGGCTAGACTAAAATTCAGTAAGACATTGAAGTGCTTTGTCACATTAGAGCAAATATAGTTATTTCAGGATACACAAATAATTTCAGATAAAGGACACCCATGTAAGTACAACCCGTGATATTTTTTGTAAAGTTGAATAATTTAGGATGGATTTAAATTTCAAAGTCTTTTGTAAGCACCTTTGGTGTGCTTTAAACACAAGTTTATTTGGAAGCTCTTTACACAATCATACAAACATGTTGCAACTTGTTTTCAAATATTTTGCAATTGACATTAGGGAGAAATATTCTGATTGTATCATGCACTGTATCAGACATAAACGTCAGGAAAATTCTTTGGCAGGTGCAACACACTCTGAGTTAACTGTCTGGTATTATTTTTCTGTGTACAGACCATCCAGTGAAATAAATGAGGCTGTGGTCTCTGAAACAGGAAACACAAACCATGAGCACCTGACGCATGAAGGGTATGAGGAAAGTACCACCCTACAAATTCGACCGGCCACAGAGACCCAGTACAGGGAGTTCTCCTTCGCCAAGAGCGGAGCTCCTCTAGCTGAAGACCAAAGAAGTGACTCTGATTGTGCAGGAAATGTAAAAGAAGAAACAGGCCCCAGTTATCAGACAGCTCCCCACACGCTCGACTCCCGAGAAGGATCTCTGGTAGAAGAGGTCATCTTCAGAGAAAAGCCAGAAGCAGGGCGGCCAGGCGCCGCTGTGGTGGAGCTGCAACTGTCCCTGCCACAGGAGGGGCACAAGGACACCGGCTGCCCCGCAGTAGCTCTCCTGGGAGCTGAGAAGCCTGCGTCTGCTGACCCTGACCCGGGCCCTAGCTCGCAGCACGACAGGGTTGTCCTCATAAATTCTGCCCCTGCTGATGAGACAGCAGACCCTGCTCGGAGGTCCAGCAAGATTCTCCAAGTCTCCAGCGGCAGGGAGCTGAGAGTGATCCAGGACAGCGGAGCAGCAGCCGCGGGGCTGCCCCGGGTGGAAGTGATCCTCGACTGCTCTGACGAGCAGAAGACTGAAGGGTGCAGGCTGCAGGCAGCAAAGTGGTGTGTGGCTCCTCCAGGGGAAGGAGGGCAGTCCGAAGCACCTCCTTCTCTGGTCTCCTTTGCCGTCTCATCAGAAGGCACAGAGCAGGGGGAAGATCCACGCTGGGAAAAGGATCACAGCAGACCACACAAGCACAGAGCCAGGCACGCACGTAAGTCCTGCCCCGGGTGGGGCCTGCTGTCAGGGGCTGGGGGCTTAGGGTGATTTGCTGCAGCTTTGCCCGCATGGACTTTTTTTTAAGAAAAGAGTTTTCTTCTGTCTTTTATCAACTTTTTAAAAATATTTAATTAATGCAAAAACAAAAGCCAAACATGAAATTGTGAAGAATATTAGATTCTGAATGGGAGGCAATGTCTGAACTTCATAGTAAATATCAATTTTTTCCATGAATTTCTTTTTAATCCCCCAAAGTATAGGAACTCTTAAAGAAAATAATATGGTCCGTGTGCCTTTTTGTTTCAGAATATGGTAATGTTTCATGTTTAAATATGGTGAGTGTCTGGGAAGTCATGTGGAGGCTGAGATTAAATGTGGAAAAGTGGTTGGGTCTGCTGCTGAGAGTGCCTTTAAAACAGAGGCTCCACCACTGATATTAAAAGCAGATCTTCATTTTGAAAAAAAAAATCGCTTTGCAGCTTGATGATGCTTGCAGAAGTGAGCTTGACAGACAAGGCCATGTGTGATTGGAGCAGTTACATGATCCCCTCTGTTGTAAATGTCTTCACTAGACTGCAGAGTGTTTCATCCACCTTCTAGACACAGAAGCCAGTCCCCAGGGCCATGTGCGGGCAATTAGTTGTGATGCCCCTGTGACCAAACAGAAGCTGCACATGAATTCAAGGCTTTTATGGTAGTATTTTGTTTTAGCCAGGGCAGTGAATGCAGAAAGGAAACAAGAGGAAGCTTTGAAGTTAGGTGTTAGGGTTTTTGTTCTTTTATTTCCTGTATATGTGTATTTTATACCTCAAATTTTGGAATTCCATTTGATGATGTAAATGCTGAGTGGCAAAGGCCCTTAACTGCATGAATGATGCAGCCCAGCAATGAACTGGTTATTCAAAATACCAGTGAATTAAAGCTAGTTCATTGCTCTTCCTTCCAAATCATATTTTTAGAATAACCACTTGTAGCTTTCCTGGCAAGTGCTGTTAATCAGTCCTTATACTTTTAGCATTGTATACCATTTTCACATTGATAGCATATTAAACAAGAGTATTAAGACCGCATTCACATGCTTTGTGTTGGCAGTGAAGTCAGTAACAACTGGGCAACTGTGACTGTCAAATCCATAATAAGTTGTGTAACGCTAAGTCAAAAGAGGATTCACATTTAGGAAAGGCTGTGCTTCCACATACTTTTTTATACAAAATTTAATCACCAGTGAGTATCTGTAACTTATCTCCTCTGATTGTATTTAATTTTCTAAATATTAAACAATAAATTTTTTGGACATAAAAGCTAATTTTTGATCCTAAAATACTTACTTTTTTCTGAAACTTCTGTTTAACTATCTCAAGTAATCATAGTCATTATTAAAAACATGGTCATGATTAATGTTATAAATTAATTTACCACCAATTTATTTTTCAAAACAAAAGAAAAAATTTAAATATGAACTTTTATTATTTTATCTCTGTTAAACTCTTGTTTTTTATTTAAAATTATTACATACTATACTATTTTTACACCAACATAAAGGATCACAAGTCACATAATTTTAAAATTTCCCCAAGATTTACACACATTCTTACTGCAATTAAAGTGGTAAATTTTTAAAATAGCAATATATTTAGAAACAAATTTTTCTAGCTAACTTATAGGTAAAGCCTATAGCATGTATTCACAATGATATATATAATGTTGGGAAATATGACTAATTATTAATTTAATATCTTTAATTATTAACTCAGTGATTTGAATTTATGTTAATTACATTGCTATAAATGGAAAGATTTTGGGTGGTTTTTGAAGTAAAAATAAATAAATGCAAAAGAAAATCTATATAGCTACATTAAGACACATAGAAAACATTTTAAACGTTTTGGGACACATTCCAGTTTTATAAGATGCTGAGAAACTTTTATATCACATTTTATTTTCTAAATATAGAAGTAGAAAGTGTATCTTGCTTTTTAGAAAATATTATGCTCCTTTTAATCCTAGTTATATTAACTGGTATTTCTCAATTAGTTTTTATTGAAATGGTAAAAATCTACAGAGAAACACATGTATAAAATGTTCTAGTCTGTATATATAAAATACATTTATATGAATAAATGAAACAGGGCATTGTATAGTGTTATGTGTGTCTTGTATTATTATATGAGTATAAATTTTAAAGGAAATAAGGGACAGAGGTGTAGCTCAGTGGTAGAGGGCATGCTTAACATACAGAAAACATTGGGTTTGACCCCAACACCAAAAAAAGAAAAAGAAAGTGAATTGAATTCTTTCAAATTTTAGTAACCAGTTATAAAATTTTTTCACATCTTCATTTTCCCCAGAGAAAGGCAGTTTTGGGATTGTAGTGGAGTCTTCCTTGAATTCAACTCATTACAGCTTTTGTACTTTTCCTAGGTCTCAGGAGGAGTGAGAGCCTGTCAGAGAAGCAGGTGAAAGAAGCAAAATCTAAATGTAAGAGCATCGCCCTCCTCCTCACGGATGCCCCCAACCCCAACTCCAAGGGGGTGTTGATGTTTAAGAAGCGCCGTCGGAGGGCCAGGAAGTACACCCTCATCAGCTACGGTACTGGCGAGCTTGAAAGAGAGGCAGACGAGGAGGAGGAGGAGGAGGAGGAGGAAGGCGACAGAGAGGAGAAGTGTCAAGGGGCATTTCTTGGCACAAGTGAGTCCGAAGTGGATGAAGAGTTGCTGTCTGACACTGACGACAACGCCCAAGTAGTGAACTTTGACTGGGATTCTGGACTGGTGGACATTGAGAAGAAACTGAACCGAGAGGACAAGATGGAGATGTTGCCAGACACCACAGGAAAAGGAGCCCTCATGTTTGCCAAGAGGAGGGAGAGAATGGATCAGATCACAGCCCAGAAGGAAGAGGAAAGGGTGGTTGGAATGCCAGGCAGAGAAGTAGACCTTGCTCAGACAGATGGCCTGAGAACCACGAGCTCTTACCAAAAGAAAGAAGAGGAATCGGTGAAAATGCAGACCTCTGTGAGCAGAAGCTACATCCAGCTGAGCCACAGTCCGGGCCATGCCCCCCAACAGAATGGCTTCAGTGGAGGGTCCGAGATAGCAGAGGCCCAGAGGCTGACCCCGATGAACAGAACCGCCAAACCCTTCCCAGGCTCTGCAACCCAGCCAGTAGCTCCCTTCTCCCCGACCCACAACGTCCCAAGTCCTGCCTCGGACTTCCCCGCTCCTCCACCTTATTCTGCAGTCACTCCTCCACCCGACGCCTTCTCCAGAGGGGTAACAAGTCCCATCGCTGGCCCAGCACAGCCCCCTCCATGGCCACAGCCTGCTCCGTGGTCCCAGCCAGCCTTTTATGATGCCTCTGAGAGGATAGCATCCCGGGATGAAAGGATTGCAGTGCCGGCCAAAAGAACAGGGATATTGCAGGAAGCCAAAAGGAGAAGCACCACAAAACCCATGTTCACGTTTAAAGAGCCCAAAGTAAGCCCAAATCCTGAACTCTTATCACTTCTTCAAAATTCAGAAGGCAAACGGGGCACTGGAGCTGGGGGCGACTCCGGACCCGAAGAAGACTACCTCAGTTTAGGAGCAGAGGCTTGTAATTTCATGCAAAGTTCCTCTGCTAAGCTAAAGACCCCACCTCCTGTTGCTCCAAAACCTGCAGTCAAGTCCTCATCCTCGCAGCCAGTTACCCCAGTTTCTCCAGTCTGGTCTCCAGGAGTGGCTACCAACCAACCTCCTGCCTTCCCTGTATCAAACCCATCACAGGGCACAGTGGTGTCCTCCATCAAAATAGCCCAGCCTTCCTGTCCTCCTGCCCGGCCTGCAAGTGCGCTGAATCTGTCTGGTACCTTCAAAGGACGACCAGTAGCAGTGGCTGGTCAGAATTACAGCCCCAAGCCCACAGCAATGACACCAACAGTCAATGCTGCTCATGCTGGTGCAACGGGACCATCCAACGAGCTTCCCGGAATGAGCGGGAAAGGAGCCCAGCTCTTTGCTAAGAGGCAGTCGAGAATGGAGAAGTACGTGGTGGATTCCGACACCGTCCAGGCCCACGCTGCCCGGGCTCAGTCTCCTACTCCATCCCTACCTGCCAGTTGGAAGTATTCCTCCAACGTCCGAGCACCTCCTCCTGTGGCCTACAATCCTATCCACTCTCCCTCCTACCCACTGGCTGCTGTCAAGTCTCAGTCATCAGGGCCACAGGCTGCCAAAGTGAGCAAGAAAAAGGGCAAGAAACCCCTCAACGCCTTGGATGTCATGAAGCACCAGCCGTATCAGCTCAACGCATCCTTGTTTACTTTCCAACCTCCAGATGCAAAGGATGGCCTTCCCCCCAAGGCAGCAGTCAAGGTCAATTCAGCCCCAGCTGTGAAGCAAGCTCTTCCTTCCCGGCCAGTGAATGCCACCTCACCCACAAATGTGCGGGCTTCATCTGTGTACTCAGTGCCAGCCTACAGCTCTCAGCCCACCTTCTTTGCAGAGGCCACCTCCCCAGTCAGCGCATCCCCAGTGCCTGTGAGTGTGCCCACTTCTCCGAAGCAAGAACCTGCCTCTTCATCTTATTTTGTGGCACCAAGGCCGAAGTTCTCAGCCAAGAAAAGTGGTATCACAATCCAGGTGTGGAAACCATCTGTGGTGGAAGAGTAATCTTGTAGCTGAAACTGAGTGTCCACTTTGCTTGAAATGAATTGTTTGCAGTGTCACTTGAGTCCCTAACAAACGCCTAACAAATCCTCAACTTACTTAATTTCACATGTGTCACTTCCCAATCTGGGTCCAAGGAGCATAGTATTTTTAATGAGTCAAAAATCCAACTCAGATTGATTTAAAACATATTTATCTTCTTTGCACACTTAAAAAAATCTGGGAGCATCCCAAAATGGACATGTGCCATTACGTTAAGTAAGCAGGATACTTAGGATTTATGCTTTAGCTATAAGAAAGACAGTGATTAGTGTTATCAAACATTAGGACACAGCAATTGTGTAAGGTATCAGCTGTGCTCCCATGGCGAAAGGTTCAAATGCAGTGGAAATATAACCTGTATTGACTGAGAGTTCCCTTTTAAATCATGCTTATCTCTATTACTAGTGTTAAGGGCATAAGAACTCTAGAGAGAGCAGGATCAACTCTGGTCTGTCACAGGCAACTGTTGACACCACAGAGAATGTTTTACAGGGTATTGTTGGTTTGGTAAGAAGTGGGTAAGAAAGAGGATCTTAATAATTACTGGGCACTTACTATGTTCGATTTTTTTTGGCCAGATAGTCTTACATTTCGAAGACATATTTAAAGTAAATAAGATATGCAAGAAGGATAATGATCTTTAGAGATGATTATGCCATCCTTCCTCCCAGGGCTTTAAGGAACTAAATAAGTACTGTACATCTCCTCTGCCCATGAGAGCATAAATTTGTTTTCTTCAGCTGAGGCAAGTGGTAGAGTACAGACTAATGAAACAACCTGTGAATGGAGGGTGCACACAAATGTACACAGGGCTGTTGTTTTCCCTTTGGAAACCACACTGCTGGGACCTGAAGGGTGACCGACTGCAGGAGCTGATGGTGAAGCGTGAGGAGCTTCATGTGCACGGAGACTGTAGGGTGAGAACACAAAACTACTAACATCCTGTCTGAATGACCTCACAGATTTTCTTCCTGTGTTCGTTTGCTTTCTGACAAGTGCTTCTCCCACTGTTCCTTGCAATATTATTCTTGCACTTTTACTTTATTATTTATATTTGATGGACCAGGATAATTCGGGCAAGGTTACCTTGTAAATTTGGATTGGTCACACACCATGGCATCATCCAGCTGGCTATGAAGTTAATAATGTTACTGAAAGTAAACCTGAAGACCTTTCTCATATCTATTTTAAGTCTGAGTGTAACCAACCACGGAAAATATTTGACATGAATTAATGTAGAGAACTACAAAGCATGTATGACAGCTTCAAGGAGAACCATCTACTCTTTGCAGTAGATATGTTTAGAGGCCTCCTAGAAAAGCTTGCCTGGTTTGAGGGTACACAGTGTCACTTGAATCCTCTGAAAATCTCTGTATCCCTGTTCTTTCTCTGCTGTCACTGTCAATCTGCTATGTTTTTCTCTATCCTATTAAAATATTACTTTCTTCTTTATCTGTTCATTGTGCATATTTTTTGCAAATCTTTCTTGTATAAGCTATGATGACCTAAGTCACTTCTCTGATATTTCCCTTAAAACATCAGAATTTCCTTTCTATAAGCATTCATTTCTCCATACATTGTAAAGCTGCAAGCTTAGATATGTGAAACATAACATAAAAAAAAAAAAGAGAGAGAATTAAGTCAGTTGCAAAAATAATGGGGCTGATTCTTCTGCTTTTTCTCTGTAAAATCTTTCACTGGCATTGGTGGCAAAGCTACTGCAGGATGTGTTCTGGTCTCTTATTTGCCTTTTTGGGAAGTCAATTAGGAAGATTAATGCAGAACAAAGGAACAAGCAATTTATAACTTATATAACACAGTTGTTTGTATTACTTATTTCCTGCAAAGGAAGTCTGTTGAATGCAGTACATTCTGCATTGTTTTCTCATAGAACAGTCAAAAAAGGTGAAGTAGGAAAAGAGATCATTTTTATGACTGCATTCTTAACATAGCTCAAAAAGAATGGCATAGATTAGAGGAAAGACACGGAACACACAGGTAGTCCCTCTGAGCATATGGGTCCCAAAGTATTCTAGGATGGTAACGGGTTAGGAGTACTCCCAGTTGTCCAGTGGTTTGTGGTATGTAGGGATGAGAAGTGTTTTCAGTCCATTTCCTGTTGGGCAGATGGCAGTCTTAGCAGAGCCATTATTTGGAGCTGATGACTAAAGACAACTAACATTGACTATATCTTTTAGTCATCTGGGAACTATGAAGGATTCACACAAAGTTTCTAAGACTGTCAGGCATGCAGTCAAACAGCTACAATTTTGACCAGGAGTTGGTTGTAGAGGTCACTTGGACCATGCAGTCTCATTTATAGAAGAAAGTGGAAATTTTACAAAATGAAATCCACAGCAGAGAATCTGATATCCTGAGGTCTATGCAAATGAGAGAAAGAAAGACAAAGCCATCTCCCTGAAAGAAAGATTTCTTTCCCTCTCACCCACCAGGGAGCTGTGTGACAACATTCAAGCTGGGGTTTTGGAAGTGATATCAGTTTGGCAGGTGGGAGCTTTAGAACTTGAGAAAAGACCCTCCTGCCCACTGGGCCTGTTTTACAATCTCAGTCTGGCTGGTTTTAGTGTGGTGGCAATTGTTTGATTGGTTAGTGAGGGGTTGAGGGAGCAGCTTTGTGTAGTTTTTAGCATCTTTCAGCTCCCCTGGTTCTTTGAAAAATTTACTCCTAGCTAGAGCGCCCCCCAAGTCAGTCTCCATTGTCAGCACTATAGAAACAATCAATGCCTGAGTAACTGTGTTATAACAGGTGTCTCTGTCCACCATCCTCAGACATCTGCTGCGTGGTTTATAGGGTCTAGAGTATACATTAAAGGTAATCATGGTCACTGAGGGTCATTAAGCACAGTTCCACAAGCTTTCCCTCAGTAACGTGTCAAAGCTCTCTTCCTGGCAGAAACGTGCTATAGTGATCAGCACAACCCTGAAGATTGTGGGAAGAAGAAATATGCCATGTGCATATAAGTACAGCAAGTTCTCCTCCGTCTTATTGAAGGGCAAAAATTGAATCACAGAGCTGGTGAGATTGGAGATCGGAGTGTTGCTATTTCACTCGTAGAACGTTTACTAGTTCACTGTGAATGTTTCAATCGTAAACACATTTTGAGAGAGGAAATGTAGACTCTCCACTGGTGTTGCAAAGCATGCATTTCCGACTGTGTTTTATGGCATTTGGGTGGTCACTCTAGAACATGTAAAACTTTGCACTTCAGAATATATCTAGTATGAGTGCTAATGATGATGTGTATCAACTATATTATTTTGCATGAAGTATCTCACTTAATCTTCACAAGAAGCAACTCTTTTAACCACAGGAAAACCAATCCAGGCTATATACAATTCCTTAACATAAGCCTAGGTCATTCATCTATTCTGTACAGTGCCAACTTCTGTCTCTGTGGGACACCTGGGAATTGTCGTACAGCTCGCATTCTAGCACAAGTCACATCTGAAATGTCAGAAACAAAAGATTCGCATTTAAAGAGGGTGGACGAGCACGTGTGGGACTACTTTGCAGTCTGTAGTCACCGGGTTAAAGGACACCGAAGGTTATTTTACCGCTGTAGGCACGTCCGACACCCTGACTATGAGACTCTGTGAGGGACTTCCCTAAGAGCAGGAGACATTTGGTTGTCAGTGCGTGAATGTAATCTTTCAAATAACTTTGCTGTATATCATTTCAAACAAATATTTATCAGAAGGTCTTAGAAGCACCAACACTGTAAGGGTGATTTTCTTAAAAAGAAATTAGTGGAGTTATTTAATGAGTTACTACAAGTTAGGCAGGGAGGGTATTTGAAGCCAGAGTCCTCAAAAAGAGGTGATTATTTTGTGAAAGTTAAAGAGCTTCAAAAGGCTTCCAGAGGGAAATATGCGGCATATCTTCATTCCCTCCTGGCATCAGAGTTGTGATGTTTGTACTAAATGTTTTTTACAAGTTCATGAGAAAAGTATGTAAATTCCAAGAACCAGCATTGTATTCTCAGAAGCAGTGACCCTCACTGGTCTGATGTCTCTGTATCATTGGACTCTAGGGGACACAAAGACTCCTGTATCACTTCAAAGCTGCTGACCGAGTCAACAAGTATTCTGGGAAAATGCAGAGTTTAAATTCTTCTCGAGACTTCCCATCAGGGCTGATCGAGGGCCATGAAGCTGGCTAGTTAATTCCCATAGGACCTGACACCAGAAAAAGTCTGTCAGAGGCTGGACTCTATTTCCCCTTGTACAGTTTAAAAACAAGTATGAAAACTGAAGTCATCTTATGTGCATCCAGCCAATAAATTCCCCATGATCTGGAGGGGCCTTAGAATTTGAAGTATCATTTCCTTAATGTTATCAGGTCCAATCAGTTTCTAAGATATATGTATTCCCTAATCTGTCACAGGGAACCTGCTTTCCTGCCCCCCTTCTTTTTTGTGACAGCCATAATACCCAAAATGATAATATTCAAAGCATGATGGAGAGATCATGCTCTCACAGGCCACACTTCTTCAACTCCTCAGCAACGATTACTGATTTCTTCCTGGGGGAAAAAAGGAAATCAAAGGATTGTACCTGGCCCTGAGTTAAATGTATATTATAGGAATAAAGGGACACATATTCTTGGAAGTAAATTACAAAGAGCACAGTGTTTTGTGTTTTCTTTGGGACACATTTTAGCAGCCAGGGAATCCTGGATACTTTTAGTTGGAGGAATAGTCGGTGTTTAGGTGAAGCATTTTGGTCCCGGTGAGGTGAAGCATTTTGGTCCCGGTGAGGGTGGATGCTGTGGCAGCCATTCAGTCCACTTCCCGGGCCCAGGGGAAGGGGAGGGTAGGGGATCAGAGCGAATGTGTTAAGCCCTCCTATGTGCCAGGGAGTATGTGAAATGTATTGCACAAATGATAACCATAGCTAACATTAATTGAGTA